CCTCCTCCTCCTCCTCCTCCTCAAGCAGAATTGGATTGTCTGGTCTTATGGTGTTCCCTAGCAACCGTTATAGTTCCCCTCTCGTTTACAATCTTCTCAATGTATGTGTGCCCACGTTTTGCCTAAAATTGTCCCTGATCTGGCAGAAATGTGTTACACAATCCACCTCTTTTATTTTACTGCTAGAAATGGGTGTTTGACTGTTAAAAAAAGCAAAAGAAAAAGTGATCACATTTAAGTTTGCCATCAATATCTCGGGCCGTGCTCTTTTTCCTCCCCCCCCCTCCTTCAGTTGGCAGTTGGCACATACTGTTTATTTGCCGTGTGGCAGGATGTGCCATATTCTTATACAAACAGCAGTGCACCATGTGAGGAGAAGTTTGTACAAGTTGTCTCACCTTGTTTTTGTCATGGCTCGCCAAATGCGGCCGTAGCTGCAAATACATAAAAAACAATTACACATGTGATCATAATCTATACGTTTGCTGTAGATCAAGTGATGCAAGTAAAGTAACAAATACATCCCTGAGGGGTTAGAAGTGGGTGTGAAGCTCGCGCTGGAGTAGGAATGAGGAAGAAGGAATGCATCCCATCTGTCATCTGAAGAGGACAAAATCACCCAAAGGGCTTGAAAATTCATATATAGTCACTTCTGCGTTTTCTTCCCGTCATATAACCTGTTCATCTCAGGATATGTAGTGTGAAGAAGCTGCTGTTTATCAGTGCACGAAGCTGCGTCACGCCATTGTCAGTGATGACGCTCTCTGACCAAGTTAGGAAGGCTGTTGTGTAAACGATATGGAAACAGTATGGAAAGCACGTATCTGGTAGCTGTCAAATGTGACATTGTTGTTCTATAATATATCTTGGCCTGTATAAACTGATTTTAAAGTACACATAGACGAGAGACGGTTTGATCCTCCAAATGTAAAACGATACTGAAACATGTTGAATGTTTTGTCTTGCAGGTGATTTTAGCACAAATCTGATGAAAGATCCCCTCCAGACATATATTAAGACATAAATGAACAATAATGTCTGTCAGATCTGGGTTTTTTGTCTGCAAAACAAACTATAATTACCACATTCAAATCTTTAAAAATACCTCTACTGCTATATGTACTGGAGGCTTCAAGTGTCAACATCACACTTATATAAGTCACATACTGGACCAGGGTTGACTTCAAACTATTCGTGATGTTATACATCACGCTAATACGCCCCGGCCCTTAAAATCTGTTTTTCAATGAGCACAGAGAACCTTTCCACTTTCAGCAGATGAATGTGAAAACAGCCTTCTAGTGTCTCTGCACATACATCATTCTGCACAGTGAAGCTCAAACACCCGACTCTAGGAACAAGAAGAACATTTAGCTTCAGCTCATTTTTTGTTTTCGTAATGCATTATGGACTTATGGAAGAGAGAGAGAGAGAGGGAGACAGTAGACATACAGTTTCAGAAATGAAAATATGTTGAAAGGACCTGAGAATATTTCACACGCCACAGCAGTATGTCTGTAACGTGACGTTGGGGGGGGAGGGAGGGGGGGAC